TTAAGTTACCCCGCACATTCCCCCCACGCAACTAGAGTGCGTCGCATGCAGCGCACAGGTTTCGCCAAAAAAAAAAAAAAAAAAAAAAAAATCCAGCACCAGAGGCATGTCCATAGAGCTAGTCCTGTAAAGATTTGTAACTTTTTCCGGATTTTGGCATTTTTGCTTTGTCTAATCCTTGTTGGCCACTTGCAGCGCTGGTGAATTCAATCTGGAGGAGGAGAACTTTGCGCAGCGGGATCATCACATCATCGTTGAGGTGCTCATTTCCTCCTGGTATGCGCTACTGGCCAATACGGATCTCATTTGTTACATTGTCGTGTTCATCAATCAGGTGCGCCATTAGCCCATTAATATTCTTCAGCACAATCCTTAAGATTTACTCTGCTCCTTACAGGTGGTCAATGCCAGCCTCATCTCGTTGCCGCTGCCCATTATGGTCTTCCTTTGGGGCACGCTATCGCTGCCGCGTCCCACGAAAACCTTTTGGGTCACATTGATTGCCTACACGCAGGCCATTGTCCTGATCAAGTGCATCTTTCAGTTCAAATTGATTTGGGCCAATTATCACAATTTGCCCAACCAGCCGCTCGCGCCAGCCAAAATCTTTGGCGTCGAGATGAAAACCCACTATGCGGTCTATGATTTGATATTGCTCCTGGTGCTGTTCCTCCATCGCTATCTGCTCAAGTCGCAGGGCCTGTGGAAGTCCGGCTACAAGGATGTAGATCAGCAGTTTACCAAGCCCACGGCCAGCATGTGAGTGTGTCAATTAAAACCCCCCACTTTGCCCCTTACTTATCTAGTTGCTATTACTTCCAGCGATGATCGCGAGGATAGCGATAATATGTCACAGCCGGACTCACGCCAGCTAAATGAGGATGCCGCACAGAAGCTCAGCCTGCAGGTTAGCCAGGTCTCGCTGCCTGGCTCGCCGGAGTACAGCAAATCGGCGATCAATCAATTGGAGTAAGTGCAAAGACTTGGCATTTTAACTATATTAGGTTATTAGGTTAAACCTAATCGTCAAGGATCATGTTATGGACGAAGTTTCAAGTTTCGTCCGATCGCGCTCAATTTGATTTGAGATTCAGTAATTCCACTCGCAAGTGTGGAAAATGGGTGGTAAACGATCGTATAAAAGATTTTTTTGTTTATCTATGTAAATTATCTTGAATTTCTCCCCCATTATCTTTATAATACTTATTAATCCCTATCATTGTTTCTCTTCTAGACGCACTAAGTATACGTCCTCGCTGCACAAGTTCTTCTTCAGTCTGGTGCACAAATCCCGCCTGGCCACCGATGTCTATGCGCTGATGTTCCTCTGCGATTTTGTGAACTTCTTCGTGCTGCTCTTCGGCTTCACCGCATTTGGCGTGAGTAGCTTAAATGTTTTTTTTCAAATCAAACCACTCTAAAACCTTGCTAATCCATACCAGACTCAACAAACGGAGAGCGATGGCGGCGTCCAAACCTATTTGGCGGAGAACAAGGTGCCGGTGCCGTTTCTGATCATGTTGCTGGTGCAGTTCCTGTTGATTGTCATCGATCGTGCACTTTATCTGCGCAAGGCTTTGGTCAACAAGATCATATTCCATTTCTTCTCGGTTATTGGCATACACATCTGGATGTTCTTTGTGGTACCTGCTGTGACGGAGCGAACATTCAATTCCCTCGCACCGCCGATTATATTCTACGTGATCAAGTGTTTCTATATGCTGCTGAGCTCTTATCAGATCAAGTCGGGCTATCCGAAACGCATTCTGGGCAACTTCTTTACCAAGGGCTTCTCGATGGTCAATATGATTGCGTTCAAGGTGTACATGCAGATACCCTTCCTTTACGAGTTGCGCACCATACTCGACTGGGTGTGCATTGATAGCACCATGACCATCTTTGATTGGCTGAAAATGGAGGACATCTTCTCGAATATATATCTGATACGTTGCACACGGCAATCGGAAACGGATTTCCCAGCAATGCGCGCACAGAAAAAGGCCTCCCTCTCCAAGCTAATAATGGGCGGCACTGTCGTTTTATTGATTGTCATCTGTATTTGGGGACCGCTCTGCTTGTTTGCGTTGGGCAATGCCGTGGGCACCTCGAATGTGCCCTATCAGGTGTCGGTGTCCATACGCATCGGTCCCTACGATCCCATTTATACGACCAATAACTACGATAGCATATTTGAGATTGACTCCAAGATGTATGGCCAGATGACGAATGCGTTCATTAAGAATAAACAGGCGTTGACCTTTATAGCTGGCTACGATGCCACCGATGTGGCTGCTGTCAAGCTGGCGGGCAACTCGCCCTCACTGTGGAATATTGCTCCGCCGGATAGGCAGCGCCTGGCCAACGATTTGCGTAACAGTAAGTTGATAATATTGTAAGCCGGAAATTGGATTATCTTTTATCAATATATCTTATAGATCACACGCTTATTGCGCGCTTTTCCTATTCGCTGACTCGCAAGGCGCCCGCCAAGGGTCTCAAGGAAAATGTGGGTGATGAGCACGTCATCAAGCTGGATGAAACGTTTGCGGGACGCACTGCACTTATCAATATGCTCGACGAGACATATGAGCAACTGGAGGGCAAGGTCAATAGCAATGTCAATAAGACCACCATTGCCAATGGCACCACCAATGCCAATGGCCCCACCAATGCCAATGGCACCACAAGTGCAAACGACACCACCAATGCGAATGGCACCACCAATGCCAATGCCACCATCCCAGCGAAAAACGCCAGCGAGGTGGTCGTGGTAGTGCCCAGCATGATACCCAAGTTCATCAAAGTGCTCAACTCGGGTGACGCGTTTGTTGTGACTGTACTGAGTGGCAAGGAGCAGGAGTATCGACCGTTGGTCATTAAAATGCATCGCGATAACGCAACCAATGGGCTCTGGTGGGAGATACGCGACTTTTGCTCTGACAACTTTTACACGAACACGCTTAAGGACTTGCCCTACAGCGATTGCAGCTCGGGCATCGTCATGTACACATTTAACGACAAGAAATTCCCATCGACCTTCAGTTTTCTTACAGCGGGCGGGTGAGTCACAACGCCTTCATTAAATATCTGCCTGATATCTAATGTATTTTTGTTTTCTTTTTTCCCTTTTCCAGCATCATTGGTCTTTATACTACATTCGTGTTATTGGCCTCGCGCTTCATGAAATCGTTTATTGGTGGCCAAAATCGTAAAATCATGTTTGAGGACTTGCCCTACGTGGATCGGGTGCTGCAGCTGTGCCTAGACATATACCTGGTGAGTTCTGGTAAGGTTTATAATTTGAGAAATGAAATTAATACTTTGATGATGCAGGTGCGTGAGGCACTGGAGTTCGCTTTGGAGGAGGATCTTTTTGCCAAATTACTCTTCCTGTATCGCTCACCCGAAACGCTGATTAAATGGACTCGCCCCAAGGAGGATTATATGGATGATGATGGCGACACCGATTCCATACCCAGTCGCATGAGCGTGCGTCGACCAGTCGAGCAGCTACAACAACATCAATATCAACAGCAACAACAACAATAACATAGGTCTAATCTAAATATTTGAGTTAATTAGAATCTTGTTTACGTATGTTTAGTACGTATGTTTCGTTAACGTAGGTTTCATAGTCCTTTTTTAAATTTATACAGCAATTAGTTAGAGATACAATATACAAAACACACACACACACACAACACCCAAATACACTTACAATTAATTACAATATTTATGTAGTTAAACTTTGTCAAGTACTGCCGTGTGTAAACAAGCGTGTAAACGTTTAAGAAAATTGTACACCAACTAATTAAGTAGTTAGTGCATGTTCTATAGGGCATACAATACATTTATGCATACTATATAGGAATTGTAACTAAAACCAACAGTCTAACTAATTTTAAGCAAGCGAAAAGTGTTGCAGTTTGTTAACTTAAAACTAAAATTGATTAGCTAAACGAATTGATAGAGAATTTGCTTAAGTTAATACCTAAGTCATATAAAAGATTAATAATATAAATAATAATAATGAGAACTCATATTCAGGGATTTTTAGCATTTTACAAATAACTTTATTGTAAAACATATAATTAAAATATGCATGAAGCATTCAACTTATTTGTGTAAGTTAAATCATAAAACATAATTAATAAATGTTTTATATTTATATATATATATATAAATATTTATATTTATATTTAATGTAATGTCTCATATATCATATGTAAATGTATTTCTTGTCGTGTGCGCAATCTTCAAGTTACATCAAATATTTTCTACGTAAATATGTATTTATGTTGCCTTAGAACACAAAACAAATAATAATTGATATTATGTATTGTATATGTTGAAAAGTTTGTTACGGACTAAACTATTATCATATATATATATATATATATCTGTGTATGTTGCATATATAAAAGCGTTGAATTTATTTCTAGGCATATCATATATATCATATATTGTTTTTTATATCGTATGCAATTATCAGTTGCTTTATTGTTAGACCGCAATTTCATATCAGAATGCAACAATAATAAAACGCTTTAAATGTGTTTGGCTTCAAATCAATATCAAAGTTATCTATTATGCCTTTATACTAAATACATATGCATATGTATCACGAATAGGCAATCTCCAATAAGCTATAAATTAAATACACACACCCAACTACAACTATACATGCTATTTTATACATACATATTAAAACGAATAAATAAATGTAATAAACTGAGCAAACACTAAACTAATTTTTATACCAAGCAACGAACAATATGAGCGTAAAACTAAAACTAACTATAACAAATAAATGTACCTATTTTTAGCGTTGTAATATTTTAATTAGCTATCAAAAATCATATAAAAAAAATACTTACTATGAATGCAAATAGAGAATCAAAATTAATTGTACTAAATTGTAATTGAATTTTTCGATTGAAGTAAACGTTTTGTAATCGCAATCCTTACCAGATGTAGGAATATATATTTTATATAATTCTGGTCATTTATATAGAAATTGTTGACCTTACACCATTTAATTTTTTTCAATACCTTAATTTATTTTTATTAACAAAAATGTAAATATTTAAATAACTTGAAATCCTCGGATTGCATAGTATGCTGGATTCAGGTGATGCGCGTTGAGCAATTGCGGTAGTGCGTGAATTTGATGTCCCTACTGTCCAGGCTGTTAGCGCTTTCGTTGCTCTGCTGGCGACTAAACTTGACCGCTGGATACACCTCTTCCCACTGGGATTCGCTGCGACTGAGCACGCCACGCCGTCGTGGGGTCGTAAAGGAGCTCTCCTCCTCACGTATTGCATTGACTGTGCTGTTGGTGGCGGCTTTGGGCAGAGGATTGTTGAGCATCTGTGTAACGCTCTTGGATAGACGTATGGACTGTATGCGATTGTAGCCACTGCCCGTTGGCTTATAGCGCTCCAGTTTGGTTGTTAAACGTGCCATTTCATTGCTCATCCACTCGGGTGCTCGCATGCTGAACCGACAAGCGTTGGAATTATAGTAAACAGAGCGAACCACGGCCGCGGTGCTTTTATAACCATGCTGCTTGAAGGTGATGTAAGCAGGGGGCATTGGCATATAATCGATACGCCTTGGCCGGGCATTGCATAAAACCTGATGCAGGGCTTTACAAGCGCAACAATTGCAAGGGCTCTCTAACAACCCCTGCTACTGACCTATTCACTAAGCCTTGGCCAGAGATGTAACAATTTTGGCCTGCATTTACCTGAAATATCGACATTTCAAATTTTTTGTGAAATATCTCCGGTAAATGTACGCCGATTTTCGAATGTCGTACCTCTTTCGACTCGTATGAATCAGGACTTTTGATTGCCATTAAAAAAATAAAATTCTAATTTTAGTCAAAATTTAACAAATATGGCAAGGGGTAACCTCACAATTTATGTCAAAAATGGATGAATTTATAAATCAAAAATTTTAAATGCAAATCATTTCCATATACCCTCACGATTTCAAAATGGCATACTTCTTCGGGATCGGCCTTCATCTAATTGAGATATTGACATTTTAAATTGTTTAGCAATATTTGATTTGAAATATCTCCTGTAAATATAGTTCGATTTTCAAATAATGTACCTGTTTTAGCACACGTGAGTTGCGGATAAATTATCTAAAGCTTGCCATTAGCTTTCACCAATCAGGACAAATAGGGAATAGCGCTATAATTTTGCCGACAAATCTCCGCCTAGTACATTTTGCCGACTGAGTTAATTCGCTTTAATTCGACGAGATTGACATCGGCGAAATTATGTCGTTTTCCACAAACAAAATGATTTATATAGATAACATTTAATTATAAACTAAAAGGACAAGAAGATGGTGGCACACATTAAAATAAAATAGAATAGGCTACAAATTCGAGCTACTTTGGATAGCGGTTTTAGTTTTTGGTCAACAAGGATATGCTGTACTATGCTATGTACAAAAGCCAAATAAAGGACATCGTCTTAGGACACTTTGCAATTGTCATCGTGCAAGTGATCCCCATCGAGCTGCAAACCGTCCTCGGCTGTCGAGAAAACGCCGCCCTGAAGCACTTTGTTAACAGCAGCCCGCGCCAAATAGCCCGTGGTCTCCGAGTAGGGCAGCGAATAGAAGGCGGTTAGATCCTCCTGCTTGTTTGGCACTGCCTGCTGCTCCGACGATTTCGGGTGAAGCTGTATATTGTTGTCCTTACAGTACATGGCAAAGGCTTCGGCAATGATGCCATCCAAATCGAGCGCCTGCTTGAAATGCAGCTCAGGATTCCTGTAATTAAAAGGAAACATTAGAGCATTGTCCCTATACAAAAAGGAATTTGGTTTACCGATTCAGAATGGTGGCCACAATGCAGAGTAGCTCGACGGTAATCTGACGTCGCTCCGGACGATCAATACAGATGAGCGTCTCCTCTACCAACAAATTGAAGGTTAATTCGCCGCGACTCATGCTTGTCAGCGTGGGTGTGGCTGGCAAATGATGACCCTGCGTCAATATGCCCTGTGGCGTTCGTTGCAGAATCTCCCAGATCTTGTTATAGAAGTGCTTGGGCACGCGGCACAGGCAGCCCTCCAGCTGGCGGCGCTGCAGCGTTGTAAGTCTGACGGGAAATAGTTAATATTAACAATTGAAATAATTCATGAAAATACGCTTACTTTTCCTCCACAGCCCATTCACTGACAGTGAGCACCTTCTGTAGGAGAATGCGCACTTGGAACGGCGACAAATTGTCCACGTCAATGCTTTGTTGCCCAGAGATTTGCAAATAGATGCGCATGGCTTCAAGCACCCAGCCTATACGTATTTTCAATATGCCCCGAAACATGGACGGATTTGTGGCTATAAGACGGCCGCAATATAAAACCACCTCCTGCTGCAGCACCGCCTGAATCACATTATATGGCTGCACGCTGGTATACATAACATTCTGAATCTCGGCGGGAGTCATCGGCTTATCGAAGACTGTTTCCTTTTGGCCAATGATGCCAACGGTTAGCTCCTTGCCATTAACCAGCACAGTGGTTATAAACGGACTGATTGAGTCCACAATGTGATGCAGCAATGAGGAACAGTAGCGCACGGCGCGCCAATAGCGTAACGATCCTGCGCGATGATAGAGCTGCGTCAGTGCCGTGCTCACGTTGAGGCCATTAACCTCAAAGTTGGAGCCCTCGCGATTGAGCAGAATGCCCCACAGTTGGCACAGGCAATAGATGGATTCAGTGTTGCGAAGCGCATTGATAATATCCGGTGTGGGCTTGCTGTCAAAGTGCTGTAAAAACTCAAGGGTTAGTCTAGGGAGCGGTAGATTATCCAACTGTTCGACTTACCGCCACGGAAATCTTCTCCTCAACATAGGTAAGCGCCTTGGGCACATCTGTCAGTGATTGATAACCTATATATTCGTGATTGATTTGTGAGAATGCATTCTCGTTGTCTGTTAGATCGTTTTGGTTCATGAAATCCAAATGCTCGATGCAGGAGCTGCTGATCAGATTCTGGAGTCGGCCGATGCGCACCTTCATGCCATCGCAGTAGCCCTTCTTGAGCATGGCAAGCAGATCAAGCATTTCCTTAAACTGCGGATCACGCATGTGCTCCTCGCGTATTAGCAGGCAGACTGTGGGCCTGCCGGACAGTCGCCAGTATTTGCCCACAAATTGCAGCTCCGTTTTGATATCGTCGATCAAAAGTGCCATGTCGCGATATAAATAAAAATCGGAGACCTCAAAAATGAGCGGATAGCAGAGTACGGTCATGCCGCAGATGCGATAGACTTTGCTGGTGCCGAGCGAACCAACTGGGCGTGAGGGACGACCTGAGAGGCCCACCTTGTGATTGACACCCAGATGCTGATAGACTTTGATCAGCTCCGTGGAGCTCCAGATTTGCACAGGTTCCACCTGTAAGTAATATTTATATATATATTGATCGGTAATATGAATTTTAATATGTTTCTCACTTACCTCATGCGGCGTTTGGGTCTGTATGCCATAGGTGGCCATCATGGCCTGCAGACGCATCGACTCGGCGATAAGCACAATTTGCACCACCAAATCTGTGGCGGTGCCCTGTAAGGATGCGCAGAAACACCGGTAAGTAATGATATTTAAGACACTATCTACTGGTATTAAGCAGTTAGAAAATGCATATAGCCAATTCTTCACATGGGAAAGTAAAAAATCGTACTAGCCAAATGCCAAGATGCATAAACAATTAGCATAACAATAAATAAAACAATTGGTGGCACAAAGGATGCTAGCGGAGAGTCAAACAGTGAGAGAGAAAGGAAGGTGGGAAAAAAGGTGGAGCATACAGGATAAGAGGTGTTGAGGACTTAAAACATGCCGGAGACACAAAACACTAAAGAGAGAGAGAGAGGAAAAATAACTGGTAACAAACTGTACAAAAATATATTACTTACAGCTAGTTTAAAGTATTAAATTGTAAATTAATAATCATTAGTTCAGGCAATTGTGTATAAGAAAATTATAAAGTTACAAAGAATAATGTTTAGCTTCATTTCAAGGCTGCAAGTCAGTTTTAAGACCAGCCGGTTCGAGTTCCCATTATAATAAAGCAATTCGACCCATACTTCAACTCAACCCATCAGAACTAACCGTACTATAACATTTTTCAAAGTACATTCTAGTATATTTCCAAGTGATTTTAAACAATATTTTGTATACAAGATTCCGCTGAAAAATTGACATGAATTTCTTTAAAATTGTTCGAACCAGGCCCACAAACTGCAAGTGACATCAATTTTTGTGGGTTGCAGCCTTGATATATTTAGTATATAAATGACATAGGTAATATTAATCCCAAATTTTGAAAGTTTTTGCCGTTTGAAGTGCCAATTTGTTGACTAGAGATGAGATTCTTAGCTCAGGACCCGCACAATATGACCACTAATTACCTGCATTGCATCCAATATTAGCGGTACGCGTCGATTCTATTTCATTTTCGTTTTGTTTTTTAGTAGAAAAATAGATATGTACATTTAATATTGGGCATTAAATTAGTGGAAACAAGTTTTAATTTTTGCAAATAATTTTTTTTTAGCAAAAATTTGCGGACTATTCTGCTAGTTTTGTTAAAGCATTTGCTTCCCGCAAAAAAAAAAAATTAAAAATGATGTAGAAAAAAATAAATCAAAAATATTAAAAAAATTTGACAAACTATTAATTGCTTGCTTTGGTGGTTAAGTACAATCGGTTAAGGAACAAGAAGCCAAACTGAATGCTACGTAGAAGTGGAAGAACCCAAGATCTGGTGAACCATTACTTACAGTGCCCGGTTTAGCCTATGTATAGAGCGTGTGTGGAAACAAAATATGCAGTAGATTTTTTTTTATAGACAAGAAACAGTACCGAAAAGAGTAAAGAAAATACTTTTGTTTTAGATACAAATAAGCAAGGGTAAATAATTTAACTATATACAATAAACACAGCCATCGTATCAAATAATATTTTTAAATATTTCTTTTCTGTTTTTAAAAAGCAACTAAAAGGCATATGTATTTTGTGTGTGTGTGTGTATATGTATGTATCCCAGCAGGAAATGCTGGGCTCTACGTGGAGATTAATTTTGATATATCTGAAATATTCGAAAATCTCAATTCTTAATTTATTTTAGTTTATAAACATGGCAACAACAAGAATACGACATTTAAAGATGATTTTATTTGTTACCGAAAGCTGAAAAAGCCATGAAGAAATTATACCGAGTATATTCAGACCTAAATTAAAGAAAAAAAAAACTATTTCACTATAATTATATTTCAGTTACCTTCTTCTGAAAGGGTTTTAAAATGTGTGAGCTATTAGTTTTAAAAAAAAAATGTTTAAAAAAAGAAAAGTTTGCCCTCTTTTAATCATTCGAACCGCAATATACAATTTCCTGCAGGGATGGATCGAAATAATGTCATATATATACTATACTATATACATACGCATATTTTCGATAAGTGCTTGGTGTGTGTGTGTCGCGAAATAATAAAATTTGGATAAAAAATGTGCAAAACATCTAAAAAAAAAATTAAATATAAGCGCTTCTTTTTTAACATAAAAGTTATAATTTTGACAATAGATCGATATATCGATCAGATTGAGTGCGAGTAATTTGTTGTATAGGAATTTGGGCTACTTACTTTGTTTTTATCATCGAAAGCTTTGCCCTGTTTATAATATTGTATGCCAACCGATAGAATTACAAATGTTTGGGGTTTGTTTATGGGTTGTGGGTATATATAGTTTTTGGTTTTGTTTTGGGTATTGGAGCAGTAGTAGTGTAGTAGTAATTGTTGTATATATGTGGTAGTAGAGAATGGACAAAATATATATATATATATATTCATATATGTATAAGTAGTATTAAACAGCCAATTCAATTACTTAACCCAAAGTACAATAGAAACTAAAGAAACATTACAAATTAAATCGAATACCAATTAGACAGCGAACACACAGCAGACACAGAAACGCAGCAGCGGCGCCGGCAGTTAGCTGAGCCCTTATCCCCCGGATCAGTGGTATATATTAATGTATATTTTTGTATTGCCCCTCACACCCAGTTACCCGCACCGTCCACAACTCACCTGAAAAGCCGAATAACGACCGGCGCGTCGTGGTCGATTATAGCTGGGCAGATAGCGTCTGATTGGATCCAGTTCGTTGATGTGCAGCAGTCCAGCGGTCAGCAGCTGGGCAATGATGAAGAATGACTGACCCCAGAGGAACAGCGACTGGGATGGCGCACGCATATAGGAGCCCTCGCCATCTGGCGCATAGTACATGGTGACCACTGGATCACCATTGGCATCGGTGTGCAGACAGCGGCGCAAATCATTCTGAAACTCCTCAATTTGTTCATTGTTATTCTTAAAGACACCATCGATTATCATCGATATGAAGAACAATGGCCACTCGCACTCAACACCCTCAAACTCCTTCAACTCGCCGGCCTGATAGTAGCGTCGCGTTTTGTCCTCCGCTTTGCTAAGAAACCCATCGCGTGTAAAACGCTTGAACCCCATTTTACTGCGCAGCCGATTGACCACATTCTGTTTGGTCTGCTCCACCAAGCGATCTTCATGCGAGGCAAATGCTGGGAAGGAAAGCGTTAACAGCAGCGATGCATCCACGCCCTGAAAGCGAGAAGGTGTTTGAACTTCGAATATATGTCGTAATTTTTAAATATGCACACACCTTCGAGCTGGACTCGCGCGGCAACATGGTCTCAAAGATGCTGCGATTACGATTGTGCGCATCAATGTCCACGTAGACGACGCTCCATGAGGCGCCTTTCTCGCCGAACAAGTTGCAGCCATTGATGGCCTCCAGTGCGGACTTGGCCATGCCTAAAACAAAGCACATTAGCATGGGCCAATATCTTAAGAGTGGACTTACCTATAGAAGACGCGTGAATTTCGGGTGTGCCATTGTTGTACTTGGAGCCACGCTCCCACATGCCAAAATCGGGCGTGCGATAGGCACGCTCCACATAGTAAACCAGATTCTGCACAAAGGCCACCTCATCGTGAGTGTAAATGATCTGCAGGCCCGAGGTGATCATCTGCACTAGAAATAGCAGATATAAGGAGACCTGTAAATAAGCAAATGGTGGTTTAGGAGATTAGGTATTCCGGCAAGAAGCTTCTCCCTACTTACGCAATCGATTTGCAAATGATTGTAGAACTCATCGGGATAGATCTTTTCGCCCGTGTGCAATTGGAATTTGCTATGCAGCGCATGCTGATTGGACTGACGCTGCTTAAAGAGCTCCACGCGCGATGCCTGCTTAACCCAGCACTCCAGAATGCCGCGCATGCATTTGACCGTGCTCTGGCCGAGCTCATATGACTTGCCGCGATCATCATCGATGCGTCTGTACGCCTGATACAAGCTCCAAACGGCAGCAGCACAATATACACTGTCACGCACCGAACCCACCACCTGATCGGTGCTCATCACCGGAAACAGGCCTGTGATGGGGCTCTGATAGCGCAGCAGCTGGCGTTTGACTACAGGAGGGGAACAAAACGTATTGAAGTAAGATGAATATAAATGTTTTATAGTTTGAACCAACTCCCTACTTTGCAACTCCATGTAGCCGGACTATGCTTCCAATATTGGTATGTCATATATTTTTAAACTTTTAATTATACGAAATTTAAATTTTCAATTGCCCTTAGTACTGAAAATATTGTAAGTCGTAAATATTTTCATAAACAAGATTCGGGCTAAATTTGAGTCCAAAGGTTCTTATACTTTGGACCTAGGTCTTCCTCAAAAGGTTTTTTCTTTATGTTTTGCGGGAAATTATTGGAAAAGACAAAGATAATATTTGGACAATTGGACTATTTAAATTTATAGATCTAATATACTCGTTTTTAAATACAGAGTGCCAAGACTTGATTAGTAAAGTGTCAATGGCTTCAGCACGCATGCTTACGCCACATGCTGTGGGGCTTTGTTGACAAATGCAAATAAACAAACCCCAAATGTTTGCTTTGGAGAGAGAAAGAGAGACAGAGCGAAGGGAGAGAAACCCCGCGAGCAACATATCGAAGACGCTAGCAAAATGTCTGCCGATATTTTGCTAAATGCTTATAAATAGAATCAAAGACGCGACGCGATGAGAAGCAGCGTCGTGGCAACAATTGATGCTAAATTGGCTGCCCTACACAGACGCCTCCAAGGTTATATAAAATGAGGGCTGTACGATAAAGATTGGTGGTTCCGCCTAATTACGCTATTTACCGATGCCATAGTAAATGTCCAGCTGCTTGACTGTGTCTTCGTAGTTGATGGTCTTTAGAAATTGATCCAGATTGATGTCCTCCAAGCTGTTGTGACGCCCACTTGTCGATATGCCACTGTCTGTGGCTCCTCCGGCAGCGCTGCCGCCAGGTGTTGTAACTAATAGGCCGAGTCTATAGAGAAATGTGATTGACATGTTAGTAGGAATATTGAAATAATTGTATTTGATTTTAATACGCACGATTTCGGCACATTACGCATTGTAGTTGACTTCAATTACACGTGATTTGTGGCTTTAATTACCAGCATTCATTAAAAAATGTATACGCTAAAGAAAACTATACCCTTCAAGAGTCAAATGCGAAATGCAATGAGACCAGTTCCTCGAACAGAGATGTGTTCATTTAAATTAAGGTGGCGGCTCTTTCAGATAAGTTTTGTGGTTGAGTGTGACGTCAGAACTTTTATAAACATATTGCATCGAAATTAGAGTGATGTGTTATCATTGATGCTAAAAATTAAAAAAAACAAATAAAAACAAAAACAATTGTGTTAAAATTGATATGTTTGACATTTTAAATTAATCCATACCTAATTTTCGAGCTCATTTGATTAAGCGCCCTAAATATTTCTAATCTCTCTCACGCTTTTCGCACACTGTTAAAGGCGAGCTGTGAGCGTAACCTTGTGATTTCTTAGCATTTATCATTGTATGGTCACCCTGTCTTTAGAACAGCTGTAGGAAACAGCTGGTGGTTCTAAGCAGGTTTTAGTGTTTTTTTCTTGGCATGTCGCACCTTTGATGGACGGGCGCAGGCAGCTGCTGTCGCTGTGTCTGTCGTTGGCATTAACTAAATCATAATCATCATCTATCAGCCGACAAGTGAGATCATCGCGCAAGCACTGCCCATTGTTGGCCGTGAAATGCAGCCGTTGAAAATGTGAGCGTCTTGTAGAAAGTGTGTGAGCCAACGAATGTACTTAATAGTCTTATAAAGATGCTGCAACTGTTAATACTCAATGCGCTGCTTATGCTGACGCTGCAGCTGTGCCAGAGTCTTGCCCAAACGAACCCGGACGCAACGAAGCATACGCTGACGTTGCCCAATTTGCCGTCCGATCATCTCGTACGCTACCTCAACACGTTTCCCAAGCTTAAGCGCCAACTGTTGTCTGTTAATGCAACAACCCGAACGGAATCTCGTGCCTGCTGGGGGCATGAGCGTAATTGCAGCGCCGAGGCGCGTTTTCAAACGCCCCACTGCCCTGGCGACCATACCGGCTGGGTGCAGAGCAAGGAGGCGCAGGTGCAGACCTTCTACTACCAGGCGGACTTTGGATTTATACAACAGCAGCTCGCTGAACTGATGCCCCAGTGCTTGCCTAAATACCTGACAGACTCATCGCTGGAATGCACTCGGTATCTACGCTTCTGTCGTGGTCGAAATCTGCTCATCGATCTGCGGGATCTGCCGCAGCGTAAGGAGCGCATCCGCTATCATATGGATGTGCTAAAGCCCGGCCAGATTTTGGGTCATTGTGAGCTGAATCGCACACGTCTCAATAGCGAAATGGAACACATTGGGTCTGCACTTCAATCGTGGGGACCGGAGCTGCGAAATTTCGATGTGCTGCCACAGCCGCTACTGGAGAGTGGCGCCTGTGATCTGGTTTTAAATGTGCCCACATTCATCATGAAAATCGATGCCACGTACAATATGTATCATCATTTCTGTGACTTTTTCAATTTGTATGCCTCGTTGTTTGTGAATCAATCGCACCCGGCTGCATTTAACACAGATGTGCAGATAATCATATGGGAGACTTATCCATATGATTCACCGTTCCGGGATACCTTTAAGGCATTTACGCAGCGGCCTATTTGGACGCTGAGCGATGTGCAGGGCAAGCGTATATGCTTCCGGAATGTCGTGCTGCCGTTGCTCCCACGCATGATCTTTGGACTGTTTTACAATACGCCCATTGTAAGTGGTTGATGTTTACCTTAATGCCTATCAAAACCTAATCCAAAATGCCCCATTGCACTTATAGATTCAGGGCTGCTCCAACAGCGGTTTGTTTCGCGCCTTCTCCGAGTTCATTTTACATCGCCTGCAGATACCCTTCCAGCCGCCACTGCCACAGCGTAAGCTGCGCATAACATATTTATCGCGTCGCACAAAGTACAGACAGGTGCTCAATGAGAACGATCTGCTAGCCCAGTTGGATGCCAAAGAGCAGTACGTTGTGCGGCGTGTCTCATACGAACGGTAACTTTTTAACTCAATATTCCTTAAACTGTAGTTAACTTATATTTACCCATATAGTCTCTCCTTTACCGAGCAATTGGCAATCACGCGAAATTCCGATATACTGATTGGCATGCATGGGGCTGGGCTTACGCACCTGCTCTTTTTGCCCAATTGGGCATGCCTGTTTGAGCTGTACAACTGCGAGGATCCCAATTGTTACAAAGATCTGGCACGTCTGCGTGGCGTACACTATGTCACCTGGGAGCAACCTGATCTCGTATATCCCCAAGATGAGGGTCATCATCCGGAGGGTGGCGCGCATGCCAAGTTTACAAACTATCGTTTTGATGTGGATGAATTTGAACATCTAGTCGCTCAGGCGGCTACAAAAGTGCGCGCGCACAAGGATTTCCCTCAGACGGCAACAACAACACAGCATGATGAGCTTTAGTTTAGTTTAGCGCTTTGTGATTTTTTTAACCAATGCATTTATTTATTTAAACTTGAACTGGTATTATCGATACAATTATATCGATTACCGATAACATGTACTTGGCGCGAATTTTCAATGTGGCAGCTCTTAATTTATGTCCATTGATTTATTGAAATGTGATGTGGCAACGCTTGCAAATCAAATGAATCGAGACAAGCACGACACGCAAGCATACAGCAACATTACTATCGATGGGAATCTTCGTTGCACTGTGGCAACTCTTGCAAAATCATATGTTTTTTATATTTTTGCGGCACAATTAGAAATTTACGTGAACTGCAGTTTAAACCCAGATACTAAACTATGGATGGTGCAAGTGCTCTAGAGTCTGGCGATAATCAGATCTACCACTACGATGCGTACGTTACATCGGATAAATGTTTCCCATCAGCTCCGCTACACATATTTCAAAACTACATGCAGCAAAAGGCTTGTAGTCCCCACACGAATGTCGCATCTCTGATACATATTCCAGATAAGGATTCGTGGAATTCCCTGCGAGCTGGCCTGCATGTAATGACTGCAATATTACCAACATTGTTGGGCATCACGTTATCGCAGCTGCTTTGCCAACATTTGCCATTGCGTTCAACGCGACGCTTCCTAATGGAGTTCCTGCTGATTGCCACGCCCACAATATGCAGCAACACGGTGACCAGTGATTATAATGAATATTTTTGTGCGTTAGCTGCCATACTTATTGCCTTTCTGCTTTGGCAGTCTGGCATTTGGGGCAGAGCTTCTGCAGCCGCGACTAGTCACTGTTACAAGGTTGGTCAGAAGCCTTCGGCTATTACGCTTGTGCGCTCGACGGCGTATGTGTGCACTGGTTGTGCCATTTTGGCAATTGATTTTAAGGCTTTTCCCGTTGATTGGCGAAAAAATCGTAGATATGGTGCATCATTAATGGATGTGGGCATTGGCATGTTTGTCATGACAATGGGCGTGGTGTCGCATCGTTCCCGGCATTTCGCTGATCTGAAAAGGCTGTCCAAAGTTGTGGTGCAATTGCTGGGAATAGGCTTGTTACGCACTATTGTCATCACAATGATAGACTACCATCAGGATGAGCACGAGTATGGCCAGCATTTGAATGCCTTCTTTTTGTTGGGATTCACAAAGCTCCTTGGCAGCCTTGCCAGTATGCTGGCTCGCTCCGATCAGCAACTACTCCCGCTGTCCATGGGTGAGTATACAGTTGGCTAGTACTTCAGCTATAGCTAAACCTATTTTCAACAGCTATTTTGGCGCTCCACGAGCTTCTGTTGCAGCTGGGTCTGTCGGACTTTGTCATGTCGGATGCGGATCGCGTTGGCTTTCTAAAGGCAAATCGTGAAGGCCTTAGCGCTCTGCCTGGCTGCGTAGCGCTTTATCTGCTCAGTATATGGGGTGGCGAGTGGTATAAGTCAATGGATAAGCTTAACTATAATCAGTTCATTGCCAAGCTGCGCAATATGTTGCTCGTGGTCATTACAACCTGGACGCTAGTGTGTGTCAGTGTCTTCCTGTTTGGCATAGCGCGTGTGACCTTCAACGCAGGGTATGTGCTGTGGTTGTTCAGCATAGGCACGACAATACTGTTTCTCTACTCGTTCCTGTTTGAGTTCTGCCTGATGGTGCCAATGGCAGAGCCGCTTGAAGACAAAGCCGATGCGTCATTAGCAGCTGACACTAAACCAGCTAAGCCAACAATTTTGCCTGCCTTTGTGGAGACAATTAATATGAACGGACTAACCCATTTTATGCTCTCGAATTTGTTCACGGGCCTTGTCAATTTAACGCTGGAGCCATCAAAGCGCAGTAGTACAGAATGTGTGACAATCTTATTGCTTTACATGCTGGCTAGTTCCGGTATAGTCTATGTGCTATTCCGCAAGGGTATTCGGATTGCCTAACGGCAGCTGTGGCAATATTTGTTGGAGTTAAAAGTACAATCGGCCCAGCTTATCTATTGTATATACAATCGGCCCAGCTCATCTATTGTATATATCATCAAAGAAAATATTTTTCCAAAAGTAATGTAATATTTTGTATAAAAAAAGTATTTTAATTAATCTTATATCTACTCCTTCAACTTGCTTAATTTATTTTTCAATTTTCAAAATTTACTAGCCATCTGCACCATATAGATGTTAAAAAATAATATTTTCAAAATTATTTTGTATAACCTACAACACGTTAAAAACGTCTATTTGAAGTGCACATAGGCATACAGAAATTTCGAATAGCTATGCTTCAACCCAAAATATCAATCATTATTTATATCAGTGCCTCTAGTAGGTCGACAGCGATTCGAATGGCGTAACTTGGCCGTTGGGCATGACCAGAAAGAGGATGACTGGTTCTTTGGCACCCGACATTTTAGAAGGGGCATGTTCCACATCCGAGTTCTTGTACACCTCGTAGACGTGGCAGCCATTCTCGGAACTCATCAAGCGCGTCCACAGCCATTTCTGTCGACAATCATGCAGCTTGGTTTTCAGGCGAAGATATGCTATGGAGCAGGTCGAGAGCGAGCGCTTCATGCGCTCCGGTAAGGTTGGACCGCCAGCGACCTGACGAGTATCGCTCACCGGATGGGCAAAGTCCACGCGTGGCGTGCGCAGTCGTGGATAGCTTACGGGCTTGCCTATGGTACA